CTGCGAGCGCAGGCCCACAAGGGGCGAGCCGCCCCCCCTGCGCCTGCCCGTCTGGCACATGCTCTGGGGCGCATAAAGATGCAGCGTTACGGACAGGCCATACATAACGAGTTTCTCTCCTCCCTCTCTCTTCTTCCACACCAGTGCCAGCCATGCTCTGTGCGGCCAGGGGGTGGCACACACTCGCAGTCTCTCTCGCAGCACGAAGCGTTGCTGAGCTGCGGCTGCATCCTGATCTTTCTGCTCCTTGTCAAAGGCAGACGATGAGCACTACATCCCGCGAGCTGTGCTGCTGGACCTGGAGCCCCGCGTTATCCACTCCATCCTGAACTCCCCCTACGCCAACCTCTACAACCCAGAAAACATCTACCTGTCTGAGCACGGAGGGGGCGCTGGGAACAACTGGGCCAGCGGCTTCTCACAGGTAACAGCTCCTGGGTGCAAACACAGGTCAGCTCGTTATGTGTGGGACTTTACTGGAGCCTTCTCATGTCAGGCTCAGTACGCAGTTTGTGAAGAACACCTTGTCATTCGGCAGGGGCTGACACTTCATGGCACCCTGGCGCAGGTCACACTGCTGGTCTGCTGTGGCTTTGCACCAGGCTTGAGCAGCTCTTCTCCATTTTCTGTGGGAAAGGAACAAGTCCTGGTCTGTTCTCTCTTGCAGGGAGAAAAAATCCATGAAGATATTTTTGATATAATAGACAGAGAGGCTGATGGAAGCGACAGTTTGGAAGTAAGTAAACAAATCAGGGGATTTAGATCCAGTTGCCCTGCTTGGTTTCTAAGTCAGGCTGTCATGTAGCAACAGGGGCAGGGAAAATCTCATTGTAAAATAAGTTGGCAGAGGGTCCAAGAGCCCCTTGTGGGACCTGGAGCAGGTAGGAACTGCCTTGACATCAAGAGGTGGGAGATCAACCTCAGGCTCTGCAGGAGGAGAGGAATGGCAGGGAGGGCCCGGGAAGGTGCTGGGGATGGGTGCCTCTGTTCCATACAACCAGCTGGACCATGGAGGTGGTGCTGGGGCTGTTCTTTTCTGTCCTGGGGTGGGAGGAGCCTGGGAGGCCCCAGAGCAGCGGTGGCACTTTGTGGTGTGAGCGGAGATGTGGATTCCACCCATGCTGGCCCACGTGGCCTGGTGACGCTGTGGGAGCTGGGCCCAACTCCGCTTCATCTGCAGGCATCAGCTCTGTGCTCGGTTGTCATGGGGGTCTTGCCCTGGCTGGGCGGTCTCTGTGAGCTTTGCTCTGCCTGCTCAGGGCTGAGCGGGACCTTGACCAGCCTGTGCTCTGCTCCTTTCCAGGGGTTTGTGCTCTGCCACTCCATTGCTGGTGGAACGGGCTCGGGGCTGGGCTCGTACCTCCTGGAGAAGCTCAATGACAGGTGAGCACTCAGTCTTGTCCCCGTCCCTCCCGGCAGAGCCCGGCACGGGCGCCCTGCCAACGGGGAGCTGGAGAGCGCTGACTCAGAGCCACCGCCCCCACCCAAACACTGCCTTGTGCAATCCCTGGCACATTGCCCAGGAAGGGATGGCTCCTGATACGCCTGGGGACTTCAGAGGCTCTGAAACTGGACTTGTGCTGTCCAGGCTCTGCCTTCCCTCAGCCGTTCTTATCAGGCAGCTGCCTTCTGACGCCCTGACTCTGCAGGGGAGGGTGGGAGGCTTGAGCTGTGGGCTCCAAGCTGCCGTCCCTGCCTGTTTCAGCTTGCAGCCTCTTGAAGAGGCTTGTAGGCAGCTGCTTAATCAGCCTGGGGATGGCTCCGCCTCGCCTGTAGCTCTGGCAGCCTGCGCTGGTGCTAGGGGAGCGCTGCTGGGACACATTCTCTCCCTCCCTGGGAGCCAACTCTGGCTGTGGTGCTGGTGACTCACTGCTGTCCTGAGCCCCAGAGACTGCAAAGGGAGCTTGTGGGAGGAGAGAGCGCTGGCTTGGTGCTGTTAACCCTTGAGATGGCTGGGCTTTCTCACCAGGTATCCCAAGAAGCTGGTGGAGACCTACTCGGTTTTCCCAAACCAGGACGAGATGAGCGACGTTGTGGTGCAGCCGTACAACTCTCTGCTGACGCTGAAGAGGCTGACTCAGAACGCCGACTGCGTGGTGAGCGTCCCGCTGCGTGCCAGACCAGCAGCGCAGCCAGCCCCTGTGCAGCAGCCCGCTCCCAGCCGCTCTGAAGCGCAGCCTTTGCTGGGGCAGGTGCTGTAGCTGTGCGGGGCAAGCACCGCACAACACGTGATGGTGCCTGCAAAGCCCCGGGCACAGCAACCCCCATCTAGGACTGAGCAGAGGTAGTGGCTCCAGGGACCAGGACTCTGCGCTAACCCTGCTGAGCTGTCCGAATTGGCAATTCAACTCCGGATGCCGCCACATCCAGCAGATTCTTCCCACGGCAGCGAGGACTGGCTGTGCTGCCTCTGCGTAGCTGCGCTGCAGCCTCCTGCTTGAACTCGATTCCAGCTTCGCTTTTGGCACCCACAAGCCCCAGCACCTTCAGCTGCACCAGGGCCCTCGGTCAGGTCCCTCCCAGCTTCCCTCTGCGCCTGGCCAGGCCAGAGCTGCCGGGGCTGAAGGGTGTTGTGCGGTACTGGTGCAGAGGCCATGCAATGGGCGAGAGCGCTGGGGAGCACAGCCAAGACAGGAGGACAGAGCTCACCGACGGTGTCAGTTACGCTCCCCAGATGGGTCAGCGCGGGGTTTCCAGTGTCTGCCACCTGCGCGCAGGACTCTGCCAAGCCC